AATCATTTACAATGGCACACCCAGAAAAATCTCTGTCATCCCATCCATGTTCTCAGTTTTAAAAGAGGAAAGAGAAATGTACTTGTTTGCAGATCAACCAATGTTTAATTTACCAAGAGATGGGAGTGTGATTGACTGTTGTGGAATGGCATGAATTATAAATAAAATAGGCAAAAAATCACAGCTTGATTTGAATGGACCATGTCTGCAATGTTTGAATAAGGTACTTGAGATATGCCACAGGTTTTATTTTCTACTTTTCTTTCCCATCTATCTCGCTCTCTCGCTCTCTATCTCCCTCCGACTCTCTCTCTCTCTCTCTCTGTGTATCTTTCTCTCCCTGTCTTTCTCACTTCATCTCTGTCTCCCTCACTCTTTCTGTTCCCCCCCTCTCTCTCTGTATCTTTCTCTCCCTCTCTTTCTCACTTCCTCTCTCTCTCTCTCTCTCTGTATCTTTCTCTCCCTCTCTTTCTCACTTCCTCCCTCTCTCTCTCTCTTTTTCTCCCTCCCCTGTCTCTCTCTCCCTCCCTCCCTCCCACACTCTCATTCCTTTTATCGGAATGAATTTGGATGTTGACCCAAGTCAGCTATAGGAAGTCTGATAAAAGTGAACTTTGCTCGGTGGAGATGTGAGAAATAAGGACCTTAAGAGATGTATTGTACTACATAACAAAGTTGCATGGTGATGGTTCACTAGCTAAGGTCATGTGTATTATGAAAGATCCAACCCATCCTTTGTTCAGTCATTTTTCGTTTCAATAGATCTGGTGTTCGCCTTTATGTCCCCCGCATCAAGTGGGTTCGCTCTAGAAACTTGTTTGTCCCCGACTTTAGGTAATGGGAGTGGGGGGGGGGGGGGCGATACGGTAAATGTATTTTCATACAAAGTATATTATACACTCATACTCATTAGTTGTTTGTGATTCATAAATTGTACTTCCATGTAAGATATGATCTTGAGATTAAATATACAGTCAATAATGAGATCATGTGATCATAAAGTTAAAATTTAAAAGTATGAGTTATTGTTTTGAATTTAGTGTTGATTCTATAAAGATTAAGTCTAAATTATTAATATGACTTACTTGGTGATTAATGTGTAATTTGGAGTTTGTTCAATTGATTTATGCTTGATGTTATATACTTTGTAACCATGTGAAAAAGAATTCCCATTTATTTGGACAATAAAAAACAAATCAATCAACCAATCAATCAACACAAACAGCAGACAAGTTGATCTGTTCCAGTGCTGACAAAGAATGTGTAACACCTACATGTAGGTGCAGGTTGTCAAAGCATTGGACCTACCTCCCCATCACTTGAGACTATAGAGGAGAACAAAGATCTGTTACCAAATTTGTGTGAAAGGATGGTTGCTGAGGAAAAGTTTGAAAGCCATGATCATATACACTGTAGCACTACAAAGATAATATTGCAATGTCTCCGTCAATAATGTGGTACACTGCCCAAGCCCAAGTCTGCCCAAGCCCCTGTGTATAAGTGGAGACATACCTGTAGGATGCTGAGCTCTACCTTTATTTCACAATTTATATGAAGCTCAAGTTATCACATATTTATCCAAACATTATGATATATTCATAGACAAATTAAGTTTTAAAAAACACTTGGAATACTAGAAGTCTCATTTTTAACAAAGACTATTAAACCAAGGCTTTACTTTCAACCCATATTCCATAGATTCAATACCAATACCAATACTTGTGATTATAATGAGGCTAACTGCAATCACAGACAATTTTTAGCAAACTGACCTGCTGTACAGGCCTGTTGCTATAAACCCTTCTGTACATGTACCAATAATTACATCTATGATGTTACGTACATTCTAGTTAGTAATATTTTAGGTGCTACAGTATGTCAAAATATCCTTGCTACATGTATGTCACAATATCCTTTTTAAGAGTTTTGATATTACAATTACACTTTGCTTATTTTGTGATATTTCTTTATAGCAATCTTTGTAGCATAAAGCATGTGTAAAAGAAACAAGTCATGTTTCTTTAGAATTTATATTGATTCCATTTTCCTGATCTTTTTCTGTGTGCGTGATGTTTTTGTATCTCTGGAAGTCATAGGTGTTATCTCTCAAATTTTTGGTTGTGTAAATGAAACCAATTCCACTTCTTTACCTCTTGAATCTGCTTTATCAAAACTATATTTGCCTTCATCTCTTTCATCATGATATTTTATATTCATACATTCTTTGAACACTATCATGTTTGTTTTTATAATTTGTCATGACATTTAGTTTTTCATCTTTATAATAATTGAAATGTCATGCTCAACACTTTGTAACCTGGAAGCAACTGATCTTAAACACCCAAATCCAATTTTTCGTCGGTCAAAGTCAAACTTACTTCCAATTTAACTTCTTCTTCTTCTTTTTCTTCTTCTTCTTCGTCTACCTCCTTCACAGTTGAAGATACCTTGCCAATGTTTCTTTATATTTATGCTATTGTTGTATGTTGATGACCATCTCCTTCCTTTCTTCTTTCTTTTCCTCACCTCTGTCTCTATATCTCCTCTTTCTTTCCTCTCTACTTCTCCCCTTCTCTCTCTCTCTCTCTGTATGTTTTTCTATCTTTCTCTTTCTTCTATCCACTCTCTCCCTCTCTCACACTCTCAGCTCTCTCTCTCTCTCTCTCTCTCTCTTTCCCTTGCACCTGTCTTCCTTTGGCAATCTTCATTTACAATACAGTAAACTATTTTGAACCTTCACCCACATGTATACACCTAAATATAACACTGAATTCCTATAGGAAATCTATTTATTCAGATGGTCATATCTCAGCCTATACTGAAATATTGAATTGGTTTTCAACATTTGGACATTATTTTTTGATGCGCTTTCGGAAAATGAAGAAAAAATTGAGAAATTCCAAAAATAGATTTTTATGATGTCACAGCTTCGGTACTCTATATATCTATGGTCATGTTTAATGTTGATATTAATCATGTCAAAATAATATTTTTAGGTGGTCTGTCAATGACAGATCACCTATTGTTTTCGTCAGAATTTTCTTTCTTTATTTATTATTATTATTATTATTATATTCTTTATTTTATTTATTTCTTCACACTTTTTTGTTCACAGGATAACTCAAGATCGGTTCAATCAATTCCTTCAATTTTGGCACAGTCATAGGTCATTGTCATGAGATGTGAGATGTGACTGTGACATTTCAAGGTCATCAAATCTTCATGACGTCATCCAGGCGCCATTTTGTGTTTTTTTTTGGTACTTTTTACTCATGATCATATCTTCATAACGGAAAAGCATTTCTCATTCATATTTATCATGATTAAGGTCAATATCCGTCCGGTCAATTTCAGGTAAAAAAACGCGCGCGCATGCGTATGTCCGCGCGTCAGCCTGCGCGCAAAATTTCAAAATGCTCGAAATCATATTAAATTAATTTTGCATACGTTTCAGGCCATTTTAAGCATTTTGCAAAAAACGCGCACGTTTTCGCGCGTACTGGTATTTTCCAACATAGAATCGCCAATTTTTCTCTGTCATCATATTTGACACATTTTTTTCAAGCATTTTGATACCTTGTTCACCTTTTTCTGACCATTAATAACGGAATGAGCGTACGTTTAAGATAATTTCTGTGCGTGCGAGCTCTTGTTATACATAGCTGGGCAAAAACATGCCTATACAAAATCCATTGTAGCGCTTTAGGATGCAAGGTGAACCCATTTTTTTTCTCCATATTTGATAGAGTATGAATTGGAGATATGATTTCATGTCTCATTTGACCCTCAATTAACTCATGACGTCATAATGGCCTCCCAACTCAAAATTTCAATTTGCATATTATGACGTCAGCATATTTCTTGAAAATTGACTGTATCTCTGTAAATATTGATCGATATTCTTCCAAATTTTGATATGATCTACCTTAGACCATTCTCTACAAATGCAGTCACCACAATATTTCATTTGACTAAGGTATCATGGCGTATTTTTGCGATTAAAGGTGGCATGTCAATTTTTTACATTTTGCGTGTATTCTCTATGGGACATGACTTTTTCTCAAAACTGGATTCTACATCCTGTCTTTTGCGAGCAATATCTCCGTCGTTTTAGCTTTTTTGTTTCGCTGAGCTTTGAGTATGTTGTAGCTGAGACAATAAGCTATCACAAGTGTGCCCTTTATTTTTCGATCAGATGCCGGGATCATGCTCATATCTCACTTGCAAAGTGGGATTTGATAATTCCATTTTCGGTTTACGTGTAATCTGTATGGGAAATGTTAACGCACTTGACTTCTGACCTCGAGGTCCCTGGTTCGAGTCCGGGCGTCTCCAACAATTTTTTTGCTTCACTTTTTTTCTTTTTGACCTTTCACTATACCATCTCCTTTGAAATTAAAACACGTAGTATCGCATATAATGTACTAAACAACTATATTTACTTTATTATTACCCTATTATCACTTGATCCATTACTTTTTGCGTGTAATCCTTATGGGAGATGACTTTTTCTCAAATCTGGATTCTACTTTCCGGTCGTTTGCAAGCAATATCGCCGTTATTTCCGCTTGGTTTTTGTTGATTTTGGAGTATGTTGTAGCTGAGACTATATGCTATCTAAATGCCCCTCATTTTTTTCAATCAGATGTCATCATGGTCTGTTGATGATGATCATCAAAATCATCATGATCATCATCATCATCATCATCGTCATCACCATTACTATCAAGATCATCATCCTCATGATCATCATCATGATCATCATTGTCTACATGTCTATATAACTTCTCCCTTTCTCAATACAGTAAATATTATAATCTATCATAAGACTTGAAGACAGACCACCTTATTCGTCCTCGTGACGAATAAATTCTAGTTTTCTTCTTCTTCTTATCTTTTCTTTTTTCGGTTTCTTCCTTTTTTCTGTTTCTTCCTTGTTTCTGTTTCTTCCTTTTTATTCTTCTTTTTTTTTTAAATTCTATTTTTGTTTTGTAATACAGGTCTGGAGAGTTCAATTGGAGGTGGAAATGCAAAGATGAATGATGGAGTTGAGGCTTCAATACAGAATGAACATGCCTCATATATGACCGGGCTGGAAAGTGTTGATGATGAACAAGTAATGAGAGAACTTCGTAGTCATGGAAACAGAACTAGTGGTGCAATTCATAGAGATGAAGGCAAGGAAAGAGCGGAGGAGGAGGAAGAAGAGGAGGAGGTGGAGGAGGAGGAGGAGGAAGAGGAATATGGACCGATGCTTCCACCGTCATTAGACCATACCCAGGAGAGCCCTCCAAAAAACACTGAAAGTCAGGATGAGAGTTCTACAGGGAGAAGAAAAAGGAGAGATAGAGAGAAGAGAAAGGAGGAAAGAGAAAAGAAGAGTAAGAAGAGAAAAAGTGAACACAAAAGTAGGGACAGAAGCAGGGACAGAAGCAGGGACAGAAGCAGAGACAAGAAAAAGGATAGAGAAAAGCACACCAAAGAATTATCAAGTCATAACAGTAAACATGAAAAGGTAAGCCCTTCTTTTCACCCACCACCACCACCTTACTTTGTGAAGCTCATTTTTTATTCAGAAAAACCCAATTCATTCCACACTTTACTAAGGAATTCGTTTCCCAATCTCAGAAATGGGTGGGTTAGCTGTATTAATGGAAGGCATTCACAAATTCCTTAATTGCACTGTGCCATGAGTAAGTACACACAAGCCACCAGTGCTTGAAAGAGCATAATTATGCCTCCGTTACAAAGTAGCCGAAGGCATTATGTGTTCGGGTTGTCCGTCCGTCCGTCCGTCCTGTTCTCTTGATCGCGTTATCTCAAGAACCGACGGATGGATTCCTGCCAAATTTTTATCATGTATGTAACTTGCAGAGCTAATGAACTGATTAGATTTTAGGGTCACAAGTTCAAAGGTCAAAGGTCACAGGGCTCATTATGTATGCAAAAATAGCTTCTTATCGCTTTATCTCAAGAACTGATGGACAGATTACCATCAAACTCAGGACATGTATGTATCTTGCTGAGCCAATGAACTGATTAGATTTTGGGGTCATGAGGTCAAAGTTCATAGGTCATGGGGCTCGTTATGTATGCTTGTCAACGCATTCTCATTAGAACTGACGGATGGATTACTATCAAACTTAGGACATGTACAGTATGTACCTTGCAAAGCAATGAACTGATTAGATTTTGAGGTCACAAGGTCATACATGTATATTAAAAATAGCTTGTTATCACGATATTCTGAGAACCTTTTAATGGATTACAATCAAACTTGAATTTTAAAAATTGCTTCTGTTTTGGTTTGTAAAATTGCTCCATGCCGGAGGCATCTTTTTTGACTGCGCGTAGTCGAAGGTCCATCTAGTTGATTATGGTCATGTACATTTAGTAACACTACATGTGTCCCACATATTGCTCAACCTCCTAATTCTCTATTACTCATCTATCACTCACAGTCTTGTTTTCTCACACTAGACTTACATACCCTCATTCTCCTATGTCTTATATTATTCTTTCTGGCTGTCTGTCATGTGACAAGTCATGGGTCACATGGCTTCTCATTATGGTTGGCTGGTCACATGACCCCTCTTTCCTCATATCTTACTTTATTTCAAACCATAAAATGTTGATCATCTTTAATAATGAATTTATAGGCATTGTACATCTGAAGTGGCAAAAGCTAGAATAAATTGAATATATGTGCAGCTAAAGGAAGGTAGAAGGGATTTTTACCTCTGTGTGTAGGTATATGAGTTAACACCCTTCTGGCTCCAAACAGACGAAAGATTGACATCAACTGTATCTGTTTACATCATATTTGGTCAGATTCTAGCTCTGATTGTGCTGAATGTATCCATCCAGTAATCAGGTACATGTATACTAAAATATTAGATGTATTGAGTAACATGTTTTATACAATTAAAGATTAGAATCACTCTACCGGGTATTATCTGAGTTCAAACTTGTTTCATTTGGAAATGTATATTATTCAATGTTGTCCATTTTTGTGTGCAGATCAAGAAGTCAAAACACAGACATGGAGATATGCACAAACATACTCATCACAAGTCTTCTAAGGGAAGGATGCAAAAGAAGGATGCAAGTCTGAGCAGTGTCAACAAGAAATAGTACTGAAAACAACCCCCAAAATGTCTTCAATAATTACATCTTGAAAAGCAGAAGGGCATGTAACTCATCAACACAGAAAGCACTTGGAGCCGCCACTTGATTGATACAGACACACTCTTGACAGTTTCCATGTGCATTGAAAATACATGTAGTTCACTTACACTGGACTTGCTGCAATTACACATTACACATTTTGAATGCAGCAAAATTCTAGCCCCTACTGGAAGTGACTTGGCAGTTGCTGAGAGTGCCGATCAAAAGTATTCAGCCACTGTTTGGAGTAGGAATGATGGATTTTCATTACGGGCAACTCTTTTGAAGTTTACAGGGTTGATGAAAAGTACATGCATTATATAATACATTTTGGTCATTAAAGTGAAGTCCACTCTCTCAATAATTGATAACACCCATTATTCAATCATCTGAATGGTGTCAAATCCCTCATGAGAAGCCATATTATGTGTCTTTGAAGGGATTTGCTGGGATGTGCACAGTGAAAATATCAAAAGTTATTAAAAGGCAGAAATGTTGTTTTAAAAAAAATCATAATTGAAAACTTTCCTAAAAGTTTTGGTCGCAAAATATTTATTATTAACAAACTGACCGTCATCTTTTTTCTTCAAATTTTATTTTTGCGACTGGCAGAGTTTTATTCACAAAATGAGGGCTTCATTTTTCAGTCAAAGAGAGAAAACCACAGACTGAGTTTTTTTATCTAAAATTGTTCACAAACTTTCATCAAGTCATCTTGCTGCTCCAGATAAATTTTGAGATAAGTTTTTGAGGGCTTGCTTATATCCCAGATAGGGGATTTCCGTTATTAAAGATTTTGAACAAATTATCTCAATTTAACTTCGCATCAATGAACTATTCTTTGACTTTTTACTGGAGAGCCCAATAGGACAACATATCACAAAAGAAGGAATCATCTGGCCTCGCACTTAATACTTAAATTGTTGTACAATGTCTTAAAGGCACCGTTTAACAATGTTAAATCTGAGATGCATGGCCCTACGTGTTATCAGTGACTGTGATATGGTGTAATATTGAAGCCCTAAACAAAATTGCGCTTCAAAATGATCATGAAGTGCCTCAAAAAAGTAAAAATCTTTAAGTGACCGGTTTTATTTTATTTGATTTATTTGATTTTATTTGAATCGATTTGATTTATTGGTTTCTGCATCTTTTTTCTTCATACATTTTCATGAACATAATATGGTTTGATACAATATTTTAAGTGTATATAATTTTATACAGATCATAAACGAATCATGCTTATTTTCTCCAATAGACTGTAGTGTTATAAAAACTGTTAGGAAAACGAAAAAAACATTTCGATTTCAATCATAGATATCTTGATAATCAGACAGGCTATTGGCTTGTAAAACTCATGGGATTCCTGACTGGGTTAATAATCATGATTGCAGCATGAGCCAAATCCAGGATTTTGTTTCAGAATCTGAGGCAATGTAATGCCTAGGTCACATATAAACCGGGCCCCGTACGATTTTCCCTACCGGCGGCTTGCCGTAGATTTAGAGACCGTACGGGAACCGTCCGATTTTCATTTCTACGGCATGTGTGGTCACATATTATGCGGCGCCCGGGAGGTGCCCGGAGAAATTGGTCGAGTGAAATGCAAGGCGCCCGTAAGGGTGCCGGCAGGGTGCCGGCAAGGTGCCGGCAGGGTGCCGACGGTAACCTTACGGGCTCCGTCCGATGAGCAGGTGTACCGATGGCTCCGGAAGGTGCCCTGCCGGGCCCCGGCCGGGGTCCTCAAGGCGCCAGGCCGGGTGCCGTGCGGTGCACTGAACTACAGAGTGAGTCAGAAGAAATGTCCCACTTTTTAAAAGTTGTATTGTCTGAAGTATGAATATTTAATCATGGGTTTCATGATATATCTTGATAGAGTTATCCTCCCAGTACATTTAGGTACCATTTTCATTTGAATCCCTGCATGCATCACTGAATACCAGACACTGCCAGATCTCACTTGCGCCAAGTTACTTGGTGAGGAATAAAACAATGCATTGGACAATGACAGTCAGACACGTGCACACACCAACACGCCCACACAACACACACACAACACACACGGTGACAATTATTTCATAATTGCCCCTTTTTGATTGAGCATTGATTTTATCAAGATCGCTGAATGTTTAAGTGGCATAACCCTAAAGTAAAAATCTTTCGCTTTTAAACACATTCACTACCACGATCATGTCATCATTGTCATCATCTTAATCTTCATCATCATCATCATCATCATCACCATCATCATCATCTAGCACAACATCCGCCAATACGCACCAAGAGGACAGCGGCCACTCAACTTTTCGTACGATAAGAAGAATTCCCGACAAAAAGTAACAGTTTTGGTAGGCCTTGTCGGGAATGGAATGCTCATTTGTGGACGTGTGCCTGTGCATGTTCGTATATATGTATATATATATATATATATATATGTGTGTGTGTGTGTGTGTGTGTGTGTGGGGGGGGGGGTGCGTGTATTTGTGTGTTTTTGTCTGTCTGGCTGATTGGATAATTGAACAAAATGGCTGTCTTTGTTCAAAACATTATTTTGTTCCTCACCTAGCAACTTGGCACAAGTGAGATCTGTCAGTCTTGTAAAGATTGTCTGATGTTCAGTCATGCATGCAGAAATTCAAATGAAAATGGTACCTAAATGTACTGGGAGGATAACTCTATCAAGACATCTATCATAAAACTCATCATTAAATATTCATACTTCAAACAATACAACTTTTAAAAAGTGGGACATTTTTTCCGACTCACTCTGTATGTGTCCTCTGGTATCCGTACCTCCTGTATTTAAATCTGCGTTGTACATTTCGAGATGCCGCCGTGAGGGACCCGCACGGGCAATATTCATTTTAAATGGCCCCGGACGGCAGACGCCTGTTGTTGTGCATATCACCCGGGGCTCTTGAGGGGCCCGTCAGGGCGCCGTAGGGTACACGTACGGAACCCTTGAGCACCGCAAGGCGCCCGTAAACATTTTTTATTAAAATTGAAGAAAAAATTCGTAAGGGGCCCGTCCGGGGCACTGTCCGGAGCCCGCACGGGACCCGTAAGGTGCCTCACGGGCCCTTTACGGGTTTTCTACGGGCTAACGGTCAGTTAAAAACGCCGGGAGAATTGGGAGCAGCCAACTCAGCACCACGGGGCCCGTACGGCTTAGAAAACTGTCCCGGCGCCCGTAGGAACTTGTCGGCAGCTGGCCGGACACCGGTCGAAAATTCCCAAAATGTCTGTTTTTACTCGCCGTACGGGCCCCGGAGTGTATATGTGAAAGCCCCATTACCGAGTCACTTTAATAAGATATAAATACACAAAACAAAAAGGAGAAAAAAAATTGAACATTAAAAACAATCTTATTTTAAAGATTACCAATTAAAGAAAATTAGAGAATAATTTATTTCATCTCCTTATAGATTTGAACATCAATTTTTTCTGACTTGGTATTACGTTCTCAATAGTACTGTGTCATGCTTGTCAACAAATGAAAGAATGTATTTCTTCCTAAAGCCACGATAAATGAAGAGAGTAACCTTGACTCTTATTCTAGTCACAGACTTTGATACATAAACAAATCATTGAGTATAATATAGATGAGTGTAATTTCAATGATTAGTAGCCATCTGAAAAGTAATCATACACTCATTCACATGTATTACCTTGATTGTGGATGATGAAATAACAGGAGTGCTTTAGCAGCAAATGTGATTAGTATAAACAAAATTGTAAAGACACTAGATGAAGGCACATTTTTGTTATTCTTGCAAGTCTTCCCCTCTTGAATTATGTTTGAATTAATTTTGCACTGTTTAATAAAAAGTGGTTGAAACACAATAATTATTTTTGTTTATTCTGTAAAGAAAAGGATTTTGCTGTATTGTGAGGGGTCATTATATGTAGATAAAAAATATGAACATGTATAAAACTATGATGCTATTTTGGGGGGCTTCTAAATGATATTGTTTTCATCAAATATTCTAGCCAATTGTTATGGTTTGTTGGCAGGGGTCAGAACTGAGTTATTCACATGTGATTTCACAAAGAAAGAATTATTTCATCTGTTGAGAACCTGGGCGGTATTCAATTCAATACTTAGCATAAGTAAGAAATTTACTAAGTAAATGGCTAAGCTAAGAAATTTACTTATCTCGTATTTAAATCGCATTTTACACTTATAGAAATCCTAGATTTCTTGTTGTCGCGGGCAGCATTGCCTGCGAGTTCCAAGATTTCGGCAGTGAGGTACTCTAGGACAAAATCTAAGTAAAATACTTACTGATAAGCATTGTGACGTCAACACGTTCAATCAAAACTAATGTGCAATTAATGCGTTGCAATGAATGTGCGCTGGTATAATTGTACGCAGGTTAAAATACTGGCTTAAGTCTGGTAGGGAGCTGTCTTAAATTTAGGGTAAATTACTAAGCCAAAATTTTGAATTGAATACCAAAATTGGCTAAGTATTTTATCTAAGCAAATACTAAGTAAAAAGCTTAAATTTTGTACTTATGTATGAATTGAATACAGGCCCAGATGGGCATTAGGTTATATGCTAACATTCCTATGGCTCTCAGCTGATCACATCATTTAGCAATTTTATGTGATGAAATACAACACAAGTTTAGAGATCAATTTTTTACAGAATAATAATAACAATAATAGCAATAATGATAATTATAATCATAATATTAATAATAATAGTATCAATAATAATGATACTAATAATTATATAATAGTAATAATAGTAATAAAGATGATAATAATAATAATAATGATAATAATTCATCA